CGGTCGTTGACAGTAGGTACCTTGAATTCCCAGATTCCAATCTACTTTAAAGAGCCTTCCTACTTCAACGATCGAGTGGCTTCACCTTCTTAGTCCTCCTTTGGGGGGCGGACGGAACCCAATCTACGTTCCACGCCTTCCTGCTTCATGGTTCTACCTGCCTCTTCCGACCGGTGGGCAGGACGACACAGCGCAGGGAAGTGTCCAGCGACAGGCCCACCTGGAAAAGGTGTCTGCCCTCCGCCCACGTGGGCGCGCGCTGCGCCACCTCGAAGTTGAGGGCGAGAGTCCCGTGCGACAGGGAGCCGCCCTCCATCCGTGCAGCCGTCGCACTCTGTGGAGCCTCGGGTCAGAGCACCGGGTGGCTCACGCGAAACCCGGAACTTTGAAAACTGCCTGGCAGCCATCCCTGTCTTGCTTGGAACTCTGGAGAAGCACTTCGCGCTGCGGTGCGGCGAGAGCCGCATTTTGACCCTCCCCCCCCGCCCCCCTCTATCGGTGTAGCTTTATGTCGGGCCTGTCCCCCTACAGGGGGATTTTCGACGGAAAATTTAAGAATACACCACAAATGCACCAAAAAGGTCAGAAAATACTCAAAAAATAGTCCCCTGATTATTTCCCAACCATCCTGTGGTGTTGGGTCCTCGTTTTGAAGAGACGGTGCCCCGCGTCTCCTCCTCCCGCTGCCCCCTCCATCCTCCCTCCTCACCCTCCTTGCTTCTGCTCTCGGCACACCCATCACACGTTTCGTAGCCACATAGGGAGCTCCACCGAAGGCCCCAGTGGTTGCTTTCGCATGCGGTTTCCCCACCCAGGGCAGCGTTTCGTGGCCCCAAAGGGAGCTCCACCGAAGGCCCCAGTGGGGGTGCCCGCTTGCGGTTCCCCCACCCAGGGCAGCGTTTCGTGGCCCCAAAGGGAGCTCCACCGAAGGCCCCAGTTGCTTCTCTCGCATGCGGTTCCCCCACCCAGGGCAGCGTTTCGTGGCCCCATAGGGAGCTCCACCGAAGGCCCCAGTGGCTGCTCTCGCATGCGGTTCCCCTTCCCAGGGCAGCGTTTCGTGGCCCCAAAGGGAGCTCCACCGAAGGCCCCAGTGGGGGTGCCCGCTTGCGGTTCCCCCACCCAGGGCAGCGTTTCGTGGCCCCAAAGGGAGCTCCACCGAAGGCCCCAGTGGGGGTGCCCGCTTGCGGTTCCCCCACCCAGGGCAGCGTTTCGTGGCCCCAAAGGGAGCTCCACCGAAGGCCCCAGTTGCTTCTCTCGCATGCGGTTCCCCCACCCAGGGCAGCGTTTCGTGGCCCCATAGGGAGCTCCACCGAAGGCCCCAGTGGCTGCTCTCGCATGCGGTTCCCCCAACAGGCCCGATTTCAGTGTAGCTGCTGGATTGCTGACAGGCCAGTGTTCGCGCCGCTGAGGCAAGCGTGCACTGCGCAAACGGGCCCGCCTCATTTTTGTAACTGTTGTAACCACCAGCCTCGAACTTATCCTTATCCCTAAGATTGACACGCCCAAAGGCGATGCCAATCTCAGGGATGCACCCTCAGAAACGGAGGGACCCCCTAAGATCGCCATCGTGATGAGGCGATACCCAACATAGGGATAAGGATCTGCTCCAGGCTGGTAATGTAAGCTTTGCAAGAACGAATGCGCACAGCGCAAAAAACGAGAGCAGCAACTTGTAAGCCAACGGCCCTACATCCTGGTAGCCTTCGGATTTCATTCGCCTCAGGCTCATAAGCTGGAAGGACTTCTCAAGCGAAGCTCCCAGGCTGGCCTACGGATACGTTTGGCGGTGCGGCAGTTTATGTTTCCCCACATCCTAAGTGGGGTTATTGTTTCCTCTGGACCCCCTCCGCGCAGGATATCCTCCTCACCCCCCTCGCTCTCTCACCCTCCCTCTCATCGTCATCATCATCATCATCATCATCATCATCATCATCATCATCATCATCATCATCATCATCATCGTCATCGTCATCATCACCATCAACATCATCATCTACATCATCATCATCATCATAATCATCACCATCATCACCATCATCATCATTATCATCATCATCATCATCATCATCATCATCATCATCATCATCATCATCATCATCATCATCATCATCATCATCGCACTCATCACCACTCATCATCATCATCATCATCATCATCATCATCACTCACCCACCCACCCACCCACCCACCCACCCACTCACTCACTCACTCACTCATCACCGTCACTCGCTGATGTCACCCGAGGAAGTCTCAGGCGGGAGCCCCCTCCCTATGGGTCCCGCACTTCATGTTGGTAATCCGAGCGGGTCATCGGCAACCTGTAACTGTCGTCACTTTTGGGCTCCTCAGGCTTGAATTTGGAGGAAGTATCAAGCGGGAGCCTCGTCTGAATTGTGAAGAAGTCTCAGGCGGGAGCCCCCTCCCTATGGGTCCCGCACTTCATGTTGGTAATCCGAGCGGGTCATCGGCAACCTGTAACAATAATCACTTTTGGGCTCCTCAGGCTGGGATTCGGCGGAAGTACCAAGCGTTAGCCTCGTCTGTGAGTGAATTGTGAGGAAGTCTCAGGCGGGAGCCCCCTCCCTATGGGTCCCGCACTTCATGTTGGTAATCCGAGCGGGTCGCCGGCAACCTAGAACTGTCGTCACTTTTGGGGTCCCCAGGCTTGAATTTGGAGGAAGTATCAAGCGGGAGCTTCGTCTGTGAGTGAATTGTGAGGAAGTCTCAGGCGGGAGCCCCCTCCCTATGGCATGAGAATCTGCTTAGCTTGCCCTTACCCTTTTCCTCTTCGCCTTGACGGACACTCTCCTCTCGCCTGCCGTTTTGCCCTCACCTATTCCCCTTCCTATTTCTCCTCCTCCTCCTCCTTCTCCACTTCCTCCTCCTCATCACACCCCTTCCCCGTCCTCGTCCTTCCCCTGCTTCTTCTCCGCGCGTTCCTCCCCTTCCCCGTACTTGGGGCAAGCAAGTCGATGTTCCTCGGCGCCGTCGCCGCCGCTGCCAGAGCGCGCGCATTCCCCGACGGCTGGTTCGCGAAGCCTTTGGGGCAACCCCGCGTGCCGCTGGGGCGCTGGGGCAGGCGGTCGGGACAGCCCCTTGGGCCAAGCCGTTGGGACAACCCCGCGGGCTTCGAGCGGGGCGCAGCCGCGCTCTGGCGGGAGGCAGCATGAACCCAAGCTCTGCGGCGAGCTGCTCGGCCTCATCCCTGGACGTCTCCGCTCTCTTGTCGAACTCCAGGAGCGCCTTCCGCAAGGAAGCCAGCGGCCCGCGCTCCAGAAACTCGCGCGAGGGCGGCCGCAGGATCAGCATGTTCCGCATGCGCGTGGCGCGGGAGAGCATGACGTAGAGGTGCAGCCACCACTGGTCGTCCGACATGCCCGTCCGGCCAGCGTCCTCGTCCCTCGCGCAGTCGATGGTGACGCCCTTGCGGAGCGTCTGGCCCTGCGACAGCGTGGAGGTGAGGTAGGACGCGTGAACCAGAGTGAACCCCGTGCGGCGCACGGCGTGCGACCCCGAGCTTTGCCACGTGAGCTCCTGCCTCGGCCTGGCCTCGCGCCCCAGCGGCCCGCGGGGTTGTCCCAAAGGCATGGCCCGCGGGGCTGTCCCAAAGGCTTCGCGATCTAGCCGTGCGAACGCGCGCGCGTTGGCCGAGGCGGCGACGACGCCGAGGAACATCGATTTGCTTGCCCCGACCAGGAAAAAAAGGGGAGGTGCACGTATAGAAGCGGCAGGAGGAGGATGAGGAGGGGGGAAGGGGTAGAGGGGGGGGCGATGATGAGGAGGAGGTGGAGAAGGAGGAGCAGGAGGAGGAGGAGAAGGAGGAAGACGAGGAGGAGGAGGAGGAGGAGGATAGATAGCAGGAGGAGGAGGAGAAAACCGAGTTCGGGGCGAGAGGAGGATGTCCGCTAGGGCGGCGGGGGAAAAGGCTAGGGGTAATATAAACAGATTCGCATGCGGGGTCTTACCGTCGCAATAATTATATGTATGAATATTTTACAAGGAACACTGGCGAATGAGGGCGGAGGGAAAGGAAACGCACGGAGGAGGAGGAGGAAGAGGACGACGGAAGAGGAGGCGGAGGAGAATGGGCCCACCGAGCAGACGCGGCCGTGGCAGAGGAGGAGGAAGAGGAGAAAAACGGTGACAGACTTTGTGGGGTCGATGGCTCGCACATCGTTTAGTCGCAGGAAGGGAAGGATTGGTCTGATCCTGGTGGCGGCGATGACGGTGATGATGATGATGATGACGATGATGATGATGATGATGATGATGATGATGATGATGATTGCGGTGGCGACGGCGAGGATGATTATGAAGACCATCGCAATGATGATGCCGATCTTGAAACTGATAACGGTGACAGTAGTGATGGCAGTGATGATGATGTTGATGATGAGGTCATGAGGATAATGATGATGCTGCTGTTGATGGTGGTATTTAATGTTGCTGCTGCTGATGACGATGCTGCTGCTGATGATGGTGACGACGACGAGGACGACGGCGACGACGACGACGACGACCGCGACGGCCGAAGGTAACGATGCTGTTGGTAGCGGTTATGCTGGCGATGGCGGCAATGATGATGGTGGTGCTGATGATGATGATGATGATGACGATGTTGGTGGTCATGATGATGGCAATTATGATGATGACGATGCGAATGATGACGCTGGTAATGATGTTAATGGTAATGCTGATGCTGGTGGTGATGATTTATTTTCTTATTATTGATCTTGGTGATGACGAACGCTCTTGTGATGTTGATGCGGATGATGATGATGATGATGATGATGATGATGATGATGATGATGATGATGCTGATGTGGACGACGATGATGGTGGTGGTGATGATTATGATGCTGGTGGTGGTGATGGTTATAATGATTGTGATGGTGCTGGTGATGGTCACGATGGATCTGATGACGGTGATGATGATGGTGATGCTGTTGATGATGATGACGATGATGATGATGTTGGTGGTGATGATGATGATGGTGAAGGTGATCACGATCATAACCATGACGATGCCGACGATGTTAAGGATGATGAGTCGGCGTCTGTTCCCCCGCCTCCACTCGCCCACTCTTCCTGCCCGTCCTCCTGTTCTTCTTCCCCAGACATCCGACGATATGATTTCGCTCAATGCGCGGCCCCGGCTGCCCCGACCCCCTCCACGGAGGCAGATTTTCGTCCCGGAGCGATTCTTGATTGATGGCCCAGGGCCGACATGACCGAGATGGAGGAACACCGCCAGAATTGAAACAGTCATTGTCGGAGATCTCGGTCCGTCGCGGAGGGGAGCTGATCCTTGAAGGCTTGTCAGCACTTTTCTCTCATCAACTGCCGTGAATAAGGCAGAAGGAATAGAGTTACATCCAGAGAAGTCGGGGTAAATCCATAGACATCAGGGAACATCAAGAAATCCCTGTACAATCTGGAGCAGCTCGTGGAAGTTCCAGGTAGCAGAAGTGCCTCAAATATCCCTCAACCGAGGTCCACGTATCAGCCGAGGGCCTTGCACCAGCCGCGGTGCTGCTCCCGAGCATATGCTCACCCTTGTGCGTGGGGCCTGTTGCGGACCAAGGGGCGGAGCTGTCCAGTGACTGGAATGCGTCCTAGGCCTTCCGCTCTTTGTGAGGGCATGCGAGATTAGGGTTAAGTCGGCCCTGTCCCTCTACAGGAGGAATATCCAAAAATAGTCCTAAAGAAATGGTCTGGGGACGATTCTTCGAATCTTTTTCGACTGTTTTTCAATATTTGTTTGACTAGTCTTTATTTCTCGCCCAAGATCCGCCTGTAGGGGGACGTGCCCGACCTAAGATTAGGAACATCGCGCGCCGGGCCATTGAGCGGGAGTTCGTGGGCCGCCTGCGCGTGCCGCGCGAGAGTTCGACTCCTGGTCTCGAGCCCGCGCGTGAGCCGGCTCGGCGCGCGTGATTCATGCGCTGCGTGCCAGCTCGAAGATGGCTTTGAAAAGCCTGTTTCCATGACCCTCCTCTTCCTCCTCCTCCTCCTTCTTCTTTTCCTCCTCGCCCAGCAAGGGCACGGACACGGATATGTCCGCTGCTCACGAGAAAAGGTCTTCTACGGGAAGGCTGGAAACTCATATGCGGACGGGGCCCAGTTGTGCTTCATGGGCTGGGCCTCCGCCACCATTTATCTCGTCGGGCCGCGCCAACCTTGAAGAAGAGTAGAACTCCGTCCGGGGGCTGCTATGAGGTCTTTGCTTTCTAGTCGGGGCAGGGGCTCCGTTGGTTCCCAAAGGAGCGCCTGCACTGAAGGGGTCCTAGCGGATCTTGCAAGATTTGGCGAAAGTGGGCGGCCGATTTCGGTGGGCCGCCGGGTTCCCAGGTTCCCGGTTCCGGGTTCCCAGGTTCTTCGTTTCGGGTTCTTGGTTCCTGGTTTCCCGGTTACGCGTTCCCGATCGCGTGGTTCCAGGTTCCCGGTTCCAGGTTCGATCGATGGATAGAGCGAGATTGATCTCATTATCGATCTCACTTTCAATTTCACTAACCGATCGCACTATGGATCTCACTGACGATCTCACGATCGTTCTCATACCCACATCAAGTTTGCAAACCATCCCCTGCTTGGGTCTTTCTTTGGTGTTAGAACATGTGTTGGCATGCCCCACGCGAGCGCGATTTGTCCTACTCTAGCCATTCTGTCCGCAGTGATTCCAGCCCTCGGTGTCTCCAGCCTCCCCGTAGCGCCTAAACTCAGGAGGTCTCCTCGTCCTGCTGGAGCGCCCCCCCTCAAAGAGCTCTTGCCTTGCCATATAAGGTTAAGTCGGGCGTGTCCCTCTACAGGGGGAATATCTCAGAATAGTAAAAAATAGTCTGGGGACGATGTTTGGACTCTTTTTGAGTATTTGGGGGGTATTCGTTGAGTATTGCTTATTTTTCCCAACCATCCTGTGGTGGTGGGTCCTCGTTTTGAAGAGACAGCGCCCCGCGTCTCACCTTCCTCCTTCCTCCTCCTCCCCCCTCCTCCCCACCCCCCCTCCCAGTGCAGCGCTTCGTAGCCCCATAGGGAGCTCCACCGAAGGCCCCAGTGGGGATGCCCGCATGCGGTTCCCCCGCCCAGGGCAGCGCTTCGTGGCCCCATAGGGAGCTCCACCGAAGGCCCCAGTGGGGGTGCCCGCATGCGGTTCCCCCACCCAGGGCAGCGTTTCGTGGCCCCATAAGAGGGCTCCACTGTAGGTCCGAGTGGGGGTGCCCGCATGCGGTTCCCCCACGCAGGGCAGCGTTTCGTGGCCACATATAGAGCTCCACCGAAGGCCCCAGTGGGGGTGCCCGCGCGCGGTTCCCCCACCCAGGGCAGCGTTTCGTGGCCCCATAGGGAGCTCCACCGAAGGCCCCAGTGGGGGTGTTCGCATGCGGTTCCCCCACCCAGGGCAGCGTTTCGGCCCCATAGGGAGCTCCACCGAGGCCCCAGTGGGGGTGTTCGCATGCGGTTCCCCCACCCAGGGCAGCGTTTCGTTGCCCCATAGGGAGCTCCACCGAAGGCCCCAGTGGGGGTGTCCGCATGCGCCCCACCCAAGGGCAGCGTTTCGTGGCCCCATAGGGAGCTCCACCGAAGGCCCCAGTGGGGGTGTTCGCATGCGGTTCCCCCACCCAGGGCAGCGTTTCGTAGCCCCATAGGGAGCTCCACCGAAGGCCCCAGTGGGGGTGTTCGCATGCGGTTCCCCCACCCAGGGCAGCGTTTCGTGGCCCCATAGGGAGCTCCACCGAAGGCCCCAGTGGGGGTGTTCGCATGCGGTTCCCCCACCCAGGGCAGCGTTTCGCAGCCCCATAGGGAGCTCCACCGAAGGCCCCAGTGGGGGTGCCCGCATGCGGTTCCCCCACCCAGGGCAGCGTTTCGTGGCCCCATAGGGCGCTCCACCGAAGGCCCCAGTGGGGGTGCCCGCATGCGGTTCCCCCACCCAGGGCAGCGTTTCGTAGCCCCATAGGGAGCTCCACCGAAGGCCCCAGTGGGGGTGTTCGCATGCGGTTCCCCCACCCAGGGCAGCGTTTCGTGGCCCCATAGGAGCTCCACCGACAGGCTCACACAGCCCCATGGAGGACGTGCGGTACTCACAACTGCATATGGTTGGGTCGTCGGCTAATTTATCGAACATCCTCCTGCAGGGGGACACGTCCGACTTAAATATAAGCTCTGCGCGTCCCACGGTTCGCGCTGTCCTTGCCCTTGTCCCTCTTCCCCGCTCGGGAGCAACAGCTGTTCGCCCTTCCTCGGGTGGGGGGCTGGAAGGCCTTTGAAGGCCAGCGAGAGGAGGAGCCGAGAGCCGGGAACCGGGAGCAGGGAACCGGGAACCCCAGGAGCCGGGAACGGGGAACTCGGCGACTGATTGAACTTACTCCCCACCCTCGGAAAAACAAAAACAAATCTTTGCCCACTCTTGGATCGGTTGGGGGTTTCAAGAGACCTGTGGAGGTCGAGGAGGAGGAGGAGGAGGAGGAGGAGGAGGAGGAGGAGGAGGAGGAGGAGGAGGGAGGAGGGGGAGGAGGGGGGAGGGGGGAGGGGGAGCGGAGGCCCCCGGGGGCCAGGCCGGCTACGAGGCCTGCCAGAGGCTGCTCGGCGCCCTGGACGCCCTGAGCCACGTCCTCCGCCTGGAGCCCGCGCCCCGAGGGCGCCCACCGCCTCCCTCTCTCGGGGGGGCCTCCTCCTCCTCCTCCTCCTCCTCCTCCTCCTCCTCCTCCTCCCTCCTCCTCCTCCTCCTCCTCCTCCTCCTCCTCCTCCTCCTCCTCCTCCTCCTCCTCACCGTTCGGGGAGAGTCCTCCGGGCGCGCACGCGCCCCCCTCGTCACGCAGCCGAGGCGACGAGGGCAGGACAGGTGTGCATGTGGCTTCGGGAGCACCCTCGGCAGGCCATGAGTCGGTCAGTCCCTCCCTCCCTCGGGGGGGGGGGAGAGGAGCGAAGAGTCGGGGGCACCGTTCGGGGGGAGTCCTCCGGGCGCGCACTTTTAAGTCGGGCCTGTCCCTCTACAGGGGGAATATTCAAGAACAAATATGTTTTGAAAATAGTCTGGGGACGATTGTTTGACTTTTTTTTTTTTTTTTTTTTTGCATTTTGGGGGTATTTTCTCCCGTCCAAAATCCCCCTCTGGGGGGACATGCCCGACCTAAGCGTAGGCCCATCCGCCCACACACGCTCGAAACTGGGCACAGCTGGCGGCCGCTGTCCGAGGGGCAGCCCTTTGGAGCCCGATGCCGAGGCCAACCGCGCCGCGCGAGCCAGCTGCGCCACGTGCAACCGGTGTGCCGCGTGTTCCAAGTACGCTCGGCGCGCCAGGCGCGCGGCACGCGCAGATGGCGTCGGGCGGGCCAGTGCGCGCGGCAGCATGCATCACGCAATTGTGTCGATCCTCTTGGCGCGTACGGTCCCCGATCTGGGCCAACTCCTGCCCCCCCCCCCACCGGGCAACGGTAACGATTGTACGTGGGCCCTCCCAGCGTTCGGTGCCCCTCTTCCTCCTCCTCCTCCTCCTCCTCCTCCTCCTCCTCCTCCTCCTCCTCCTCCTCCTCTTCGCCTCCTCCTCCTCCTCCTCCTCCTCCTCCTCCTCCTCCTCCTCCTCCTCCTCCTCCTCCCTGGGAGGGGCTGGACCCTCTCACATGCTGGGGCTCGCGCGCATCCGTCGTGCCCCTCCCCGTCCAGGTGTTGCTATTACCAGGAGCCCCTTGTCCCACTTACCTTCCAAGTCATCGGGTGCCATGCCACGGGATGCAATGCTATGCTGTGTTATACACCGCTGTGCGATGCCATAATTTGCGTTGTTATGCTCAGTGATGCAATGCTTCACTACGCAATGCCACGCCATGCTATGACATGCTATGCTCTGCCGTGCTCTTCTACGCCATGCGTTTCCATCCATCGCGTACCCTCTTGGGACCATTGCCCTGCTCGACATCCGACTCTGCGAACAGATAGGATATCTACGCCATGGTAAGGGTTGGGAGGGAGGGGTAGGACATCAGATGTGGCGCTAGCGCATCTAGCTTGTCCCGCTCTTCGACATTGAACACAATATGAATATTACTCTCCTCTCTACCCTGGTGGCGTCCGGGGAATGTCCGGCCCCCCTCCGCGCTCTGGTTTTTTAAACAGGATTCCCGGGAAACGGAGTTTCGCTTGGGTTTTTTCTCAAAATGCTGCTCTCGCTGAACCGCTGGCTTCATTTTCGGGCTACCGCTTGTTCCGAATCGTGCTCCCGCTGCAGCGCTGGCCTCATTTCCGTCATTACTTCCAGCGCCATGCCACGGCATGGTTTTCAGTCTTTCCAAATCAGCCCCAAAATCAAGAACATGCTCCCCCCCCAGGAAAACCATCGGAAGTGATTCCACATTCGGTGTGTTGATTTTTGGGGTCGCAGAAGCCCCCCCCCACTTTGGGGCGTCGCCACGCCATGCTATGTCGGGCTACGCGTCCTCCGACTCGTGCTTCCGCTGCAGCGCTGGCCTCATTTCCGCGCTTCCGCTCGTTCCGAATCGTGCTCCCGTTGCAGAGTTGGCGTCATTATTTCCAGCGCCATGCCACGGCATGGTTTTCGGTCTTTCCAAATGGGCCCCACGATCAAGAAAATGTTCGCCCGAAGCGAGCATCGGAAGTGATTACACATTCAGTGCCGATTCGTTGATTTTCCGGGCCGCAGAAGCCCCACCCCCCACTTTGGGGCGTCGACACGCCATGCTATGTCAGGCTACGCGATGATCTTCAAGACCATGCTATGCCATGTAATGTTATGCCCTGTTACGACATCCGATTGTGCGAATAGAGAGGAGATCTACGCCATGGTAAAAGGATGGGAGGGAGGGGTAGGACGTCAGATATGACGCGAGCGCACCTAGCTTGCCCCTCCCCCCCCGCTTCCCCCTCCCCCCCGTCCCCCACGGGTAAGTGCCTTAAACAGAAATACAGAAACAATCTCGGAGGATGCGCCCGGGAGACGGGAACAAGTTTCGGGTTGGGTTTATTCGTGCGTTTTTGTCGGCTCCCGGCGGCTTTCACGCCGCTGGGAGCGTGCCAGCAATTGCGTTCCTTCGAGCGCGTTCCAGGGGGGCTCAGATCATTCCGAACGGCAGCTGGAGAACCGAGGTATGACCCGAAAACCACCCGGGACGGCGATTGGCTCAGGGGGGGATGCATCGACCCCTAATTGCCCAGTCATCGCCAACACGGGCCCTACAGCCCGCCCCGCCCAGGAAGGTGCGGTGTTGCTCTCGGGGCCCATTGCCGATCCATCGGCTATGTGTGGCTGCTTCTAGGTCGATGCTTCCCCCTTGGCCAGGCCCCTCCCTCCACCGGGGAGACTCCGAGAGGACTGTGAGACTGCAGGCATCCTTCATCCGAGGCTGAAAATTATACATCCGGAAGAGGACCATATATCGCTACCGCTACCTTTAAATCTGGCCTGTCCTTCTACAGGGGGGATATTCCAAAATAGTAAAAAGATAGTCTGGGGACTATTTTTTGAGTATTTTTGGCAGTTTGGAAGTATTTTTGAGTATTTTAATTTTTTCGTCGAAGGTCCCCCTGTAGGGGGACACGCCCGACTTAAACGCTACCCTTCTCGCGTCGCCACGGCCGGATCCGCCTCGAGGTCTTGGTCAGAACGCACCGCAGGGGAGGTCCGTGGAGTGCGTAGCATTATGGGCATCTTGTGCGGCCCGCCACACCCGGGCTGGACGAGAGGGGGGGATTGGGAAAGGGGGGGGTACGAAATTTGCCGCATGCAGCTGCTTTCGGCCTCACCGAGGGGCCCATTCCTCGATACAATGGCCGCCTCCGGCGCCGGGAGGCGCCGGGAAAATCGGCTGCGTGAGCTGATTCTCACCCCCCTCCTTTGCTATCCCTCCCTTTCGCCCGACCCGACACGCATGGGCACTTGCCGAGATAGATCGGCCGATGCAGGCCAAACTGGAGTGATGCGGTCGGCCGGGTTCGGCGGAACGCGCAGGTTTCGGCCAGACCGGGGGGGGCGGAAAAGGCCGCCATACCTTCGTGTTCCCCGCTCTTGCTTCTGCGACCCTAGCCGACGTCGAGAGTGGGTTCCCGCGCCGCCTGGGGAACCGATCCCCCCATCTCCCGGGAAGGCGGTGGACGCGGGCATGTCTGGGCCCCAGGGGTCCAAGGCGTGTCCACGCCCGCCGCCCCCTTGGGGTCCAAGGACCAGGACATCGGTCCCCCAGGCGGTTGAGGTGGACAAGGCTTACGTCGGGCGTGTCCCTCTGCAGGAGGAATATTCAAACATAGTTTTTTATTTTAACATGGGGACTATTTCTTGACTATTTTTGATTCTTTCCCAACCATCCTGTGGTTGGGTTCTCGTTTTGAAAAGACAGCGCCCCGCGTCTCACCTCCTCCCGCTGCCCCCTCCCTCCTCCCCCTCCTCCCTCCTCCCATCCGTCTCGTCATCGTCATCGTCATCGTCATCATCGTCATCATCATCGCCATCGTCATGGTCCGCATCATCATGATCATCACCATCGCCATCGTCAGCGCCGCGCCCCTCACACGGTTCGTGGCCCCATTTTGGTACATCCCTCACACGGTTCGTGGCCCCATAGGGAGCTCCATCGAAGGCCTCAGCGGGAGCGTCCGCATGGCACCGCCGCCCCATTTCGGTACACCTCTCTCTCTCGTTTCGCGGCCCCATAGGGAGCTCCACCGAAGGCCCCAGCGGGTGCGTCCGCATGGCACCGCCGCCTCATTTTGGCACACCCCTCACACGGTTCGTGGCCGCATTGGGAGCTCCACCGAAGGCCACAACGGGAGCGTCCGCATGGCACCGCCGCCCCATGTTGGCACACCCCTCTCACGTTTCGTGGCCCCATAGGGAGCTCCACCGAAGGCCCCAGCTGGAGCGTCCGCATGGCACCGCCGCCCCATTTCAGCGCAAACCTCACACTGTTCGTGGCCCCGTAGGGAGCTCCACCGAAGGCCCCAATGGCGACGTTCGCAGGAGTCCTCCCGACTCATGACTCATTTCGGCACACACCTCACACGTTTCGTGGCAGAAGGCTATACCGCGCGCGCTACTCGGAGTTTGCGCGCCCCTCTCCTCCGTCTCATCTCCCTTGCGGCACTCGCAGCCGCATCTGGCTGGGTCCTTCGTCAGGCCAATGTTCTGGCTAGTTTTTAATGTTCGTCGAGACCCCGCCTGCAGGGGGGCACGCCCGACCTGACCCCGGGCGGTCGATGTGGACACGGCCCCGCCTCGCACCTAAGGGGGTGTGGACGGCCCCCCGGGGGCGGAGGCGGACTGCGCAGGGGCAGCCCCCGCGCCGTGGGGGCCTCCTCGTGGCCCCCGGGCCCTGGGGGCCCCGGTGAGGGCCCCCGACCCCCCGACCACTACCCCGAGGCCCCGGCGATAGGGCCCCGAGAGGCCGAGAGCGGTCCCAGGGACGGACCTCTGCCTCGGGACCGTTTTCCGATGGTCCCGGGGCCCGGTGAGAGGGCCCCCAGGGGGGCTCAAGAGATGGGGGTCAATGCAAACGGGGGTCAGCCAGGGCACCAGATCCTGCAGGATCCTGCGAAGACCCACTCTGGCTGACCCGGGTAAGCGAGCCGCTCGTGGCCGCGAGTCGGCCGCGCATATTGGCTGACCCGGGTTTGCGAAGACCTGCGTTGCAGTTCTTTTTTCCTGCATTTCAGTTTTTTGTTTCCCGCTGACCCGGGTCTGGATCGACCCGGGTCAGAAGATCCCCGACCCCAGGGGCAGCCCCCGCGCCGTGGGGGCCTCCTCTGCCGTGGCTCCCGGGAGTCGGCGGGTGATCACGGGAGCCTCGTAGTTCGTGCTGGTGGCCCTGGGGGGGTGCAGGGCTCGTGTCGACTCCTCCGGTTCGATCCGACTCGATCGCGATGGCTTCCGATGCCGATTCGATGCGGCTTTGGATTCCGATGTGGGTTCCGAGTTCTTGCTGGATGCACACTGGCACGCCGATTTCCGCCGAGTCGACCCTTCCCGACTCGTCTGCCGGTTTTCGCCGATCCGATTCATTTCGATCGCCGATCCGACTTATCGATTCGATTCTGGGGGCGCCTGCCCGCATGGGGGATGCAGAGGGGGATGGGGAGGAGGAGGAGGAGGAGGAGGAGGAGGAGGAGGAGGAGGAGGAGAGGAGGGGGAGGGTACGAGGAGGACTAGGAGGACGAGGAGGACGAGGAGGACGAGGGACGAGGAGGAAGAGGAGAGGAGGAGGAGGAGAGGAGGAGGAGGCGGGAGGCGGAGGAAGGAAGAGGAGAGGAGGAGGCGGAAAAGGAAGAGGAGGAGGAGGAGGAGGAGGAGGAGGAGGAGAAGGAGGTGTCGGCTGCTCCTTCTGCTGCCTCCCCTTTCCTCAGCCAGCCCCCCCACCTCCCCCTCCCTCCCCGTCGCTGCTGCTGTTCCTTTCCGTCTCGTCCTCGTCCCCTCCCATCCCGCTTTCTCTTTCCTTCCTCCTCGCTCCGCCTGCTGCGCATGCTGCTGCTCCGCGATCCTGGCCGCCGTCCGTGTCCCCTGCCCTCACCGACGTCGTTGTCCTTTTGTGCTTCTCCTCGTATTCGTCGTCGTCCTCCCTCGCCCACCTCTCCCTGCCCTCCTCCTCCTCCTCCTCCTCCTCTTCCTCTTCCTCTTCCTCCTCGTCCTCCTCGTCCACCTCCTCCTCCTCCTCCTCCTCCTCTCCTCCTCCTCCTCTTCCTCTTCCCTTCCTCTCGTCCTCCTCGTCCTCCTCCTCCTCCTCCTCCTCCTCCTCCTCCTCCTCCTCGTCGTTTCCTCCTCCTCCTCCTCCCTCCTCTCTCCTCTCCTCCTCCTCCCTCCTGCTCCCTCCTTTCCTTCTCCCTGTCCTCCTCCTCCTCCTCCTCCTCCTCCTCCTCCTTCTGCTCCTCCTTCTCCTCCTCCCTGTCCTCCTCCTCCTCCTCCTCCTCCTCCTCCTTCTCCTCCTTCCGCTGGCGAGGCCAGGAGAGAAGCCATGAGAGAGGGGGACGGGCCTTTGCAGAACGCGGCGGGGGGCCTCTCAGAAGCCCTCGCGCCTTCGGAGAAGTTTTCCCGTGTCTCCGGTGCAGACTTCTTCTACGGCTTCTCGGAAGGCCGGAGGCCTTCCGAGCCTTCGGAGAAGGCCCGCCCTTTTCGACGCCCCCTCTGGGCTCGCCGCCGGTCTTCCTCCCGGTCTTCCTCCCCTGCCGCCCCTTCCTCCCTGTCAGGTACCGCGCCGGGTTCGCGAGCAACTACAGGGCCCTCTTCGCTGGCGACGGCCGGAGCTACCGCGCCGAGATCCTGCAGGCGGCCATGACGCTGACGCCGACGATCTGGTCCAACGGCGAGTTTGTGCAGCTCAGCGAGGGGCTGGTGCAGCGCGCGAGCGCGCTGCATGACTTCGGGGTGCCGGCAAGCACGGCCAAAAGGTGCTGAAATGAGGCGCGCGTTGGGCTCCGGGAGGGGCTCGGGTTCTCAAGCCGCTTCCCTCGGCTCATGGCCGTCGAAGCCCTTTTTGCGGCCTGGGCCCGCCGTGGCCAGAGGCACCCCTTCGTTCCTTCTCGCGCTTTCTGCCACTGCGCTCGGAGGAGGAGGCGGTGCCGATGCCGCTGCCTTGCCTTCGTCGTCGCCGCGACGATCGGATTCGCCTTGAAGTTCTGGTCAGAGCGCACCCCTGGAGCTTGAAGTTCTGGACTCGCCTCGAGATTCTGGATTCGCCTCGAGATTCTGGGAGTCGCGGCCTTGGTATCCGCGGCCCCTGAAGCCGCCAACTCTGGGGGCGATTTGGGCCCCAGGGTGCGATGCAGTAGTTTTGGCGCCCCGCGCTGGCCGACGGGAGTGCGCAGGGCGGGGGAGCGGCCTGGGGCGAGGCCTGGTGGGGGATTGCGTGGAGTCCTTGGTGCGCACCCCCCCCCCCGGGTGCGGTCCTCACAGCACGGCCCCCAGGCGTGGCCGCACAGTTCTTGGCTTCAGTCGGGCCCGTCCCCCTACAGGGGGATTTTCGACGAAAAATGAAGAATACCCAAAACATGGTCCGAAAGTAGTCAAAAAAACAGTCTTGGGACTATTTTTCGAGTATTTTTGACCTCCTTGGGGTATTTTCGTCGATAGTCCCCCTGTAGGGGGACAGGCCCGACTTAATTCTTGGTTTCAGTCAGGCATGTCCCTCTACATGAGGAGTATTCAAAGCCAGTCGAAAGAATAGTCTGGGGACGATTTCCAACTATTGTGCACTACTTCCGGGTACTTTTTTGGTCATTTTCCGTTTTCTTCCAAAACCCGCCTGCAGGAGGACATGCCCGACCTGGCTCTTGGTGGGCGTCAGCCTGACCACCTTGCCGAGCCCGGGCTCGGCCGACCCGGGGCCCAGGCTCGGTGTGCACGCCCTCCCGGCCAAGCCACACGGGCGCGTGCGCCAGTGCTGGCCCCGGGATGGGCCGGGCCAGGATCGAGGAGGCGGTCTCGGGCGGGTGGTCAAGGGGGGGAGGGGCCCACATGCGGGGTGAGGCCTTAAGGAGCCTCAAGGGCTCCTGCAGGGCCCGTTTCGTCACCCCGCCCGATGGTCGGCTGGTGTCGCAGGGAAAGTGCGGTCCCCGTAATGTCGCGACCCCGAAGGGCCGCCTCGTCCATGCAACCGCGCGCGGCGGGGGAACAAGCAAAAGTCAGGAGGGAAAGAAACACACAGACATAATTCATCGTCTCGTCGATTCCCCAGAAGATATAGGAAAATATGGGAAGTGGGGGGGAAGACAGAAACCCAGAAAGCATGGGAAAATATGGGGAATCCTTTTATTTGTGTGTATTTATTTGTGTGTCCTGGGGCCCCTCTAAAAAGACCGGTTCGGGCCCCCGCGCTCCTGCGAGGAGCAGGGCGTCAAGCTCTTGCGAGGGTGGCTTTCAATCTCAAGGCAGGGTCAGCCCGAGGAGGCCTTCGGCGTGGCTTAGACGCGTTGGCCTCAGCTTGTCGGTCCTCTCCCGGATGCCGCTGGTACGTATTGGCTTTGTGTAGCGTCGTTCGTAGTTCTCGGTCAGCCGCCCTGGCCTAGTTTAGCGTGTATTTCCATCGCTTATCTTGTCGTAGCGAGGCGCGGGCGATATCAGCCTAACCTGGCTTGGCCTGTCGTGGCTTGTATCTGCGGAGCTTAGCGCAGCTCAGCGTTGCCAAGCTTAGCCTGTTCTGGGATGGCCTTGCTGGGCATGTCTCGGCTGCGCCAATATGAGCGCGGCTGTGTTGACCCTGACCTGTATTATCCTAGCCAAGGTCGGCGTAGCTTGGCCGAGCTGAGTTAGGCAACTCTTGGCTCGGTGTAGCTCGGACAGTGTATCATTGAATGTGAGTTGGGGGTCGCAGTTGATCTCCGCGCAGCTTAGCTTGAGCCTCCCTGTCTCTAGGCTTTCCCAGATGGCCACCTTGGGGCCCTTGTGGAGCCTCTTAGAGCTCTCTGGCGGCCCTCCTGGGAGCCACTGCCGCAATCCCCAAGGCCAGCGACCACCATCTCGGTTAGACCTCCTCGGGAACCCGAAGCGTGTCCCTTCGGTCGATTTTGGGCACTCGAACTTACTGAAGCACCTGAAGCTGCTCGTGCTGCCTTCTCAGCTTCCAATGGTCCTCAAGAGGCCCACGAGGGCTCCCAAGGACAGGGTCCAAAGAGGTCCACCAATGGCTTCCAGGAGCCCACCTTAAGGGGAGCCTTGGGGGGGTCCTGGAAGCCTTGGGGGACCTCGTTGGGTCCTGTCCTTGGGAGCCCTCTTGGGCCTCTTGAGGACCATGGGATACCGAGAAGGCAGCACGAGCTGCCTCAGGTGTTTCAGTGACTGTGGCTTCTTGGAGGCATCCTTCGGAGGTTCGGGTGCCGAGCCTCTGGTAGCCATGCTGAAGGCCTCCTGGGGGCCTACCTGGGCTTTCCTGGCGCCATCGTGAAGGCAAGCCGTGCTTATCAGGGGCCATGTTTGGAGCAATCTCGGGCCATCTCAGATGTTGTAACCACTGGTGGTCCCCGGGTCCAGATCCTGGGGAGGGGTAAAGAAGACATGGGAAAGGGAAAACCCATCTCAACAGGCGACGAGAGGGCTGCTTTGGAGAAGCTGGCAACTTGAGCCGTCTACTTTGCCCAGAGGCCTGCATGGTGAGAATTGCGCAACTTTCGCAGAGAAGGAGGGGGAGGAGGAGGAGGAGGAGGAGGAGGAGGAGGAGGAGGAGGAGGAGGAGGAGGAGGAGGAGGAACGGCATCAGGAAGAGGGGACGAGGAGGAGCCGCACTTAATCCAGGCGCGGGCTGTCCCCGTCGCACTCGCAGTGTGCCCCCCCGCCCGGATCAGGAGGCCTGGCTCAGCCTGGAGCACGCCCTGCACGTCTACGACTGCTGCGCCTGCCCCCTTCGGGCCGCCCCGGGCGCACCCTGCATGTCAAGAAGACAGGCTGCTCGTTCTCGTTCTGCTCCGTGCCCTCGTGCCCATCTTTCTCGCCCTCCCTCCTCGACCCCCTCCTCCTCACGAGTAGCTCGTAGCCAGCTTGGCTCAAGATGTTCGCACTGGGGGCTTCCAGCCCCAAGGCAAGATCGGAGACTCCTGAGCCGGGGACAGACACACAGTTCGTGCCAGCTCCTTGTGGGTTCGCATCGGCGCGAGGGGCGCGCGGATGGCGGGCGGCAGCGGGGCTGGCGGCGAACGCGGAGGTGGGCGCAAGCGGCCTCCAGTGGCCCTGGAGCTCAGCGGTGGCAAAGGAGGCGGCAAGGCGGGGCCCGCGGGCAGCAAGTGGGGTGCTCCCGACGGGCCGACGTGGACGCGCACCATGTGCGGGCGAAACGACCAGTTCGGCGTCCGCACGCACTGCCGCGCGCCCGCGTGCCTTGCACCGCGCCCAGGGGGAGCCTGGACCGCAGGAGGCTCGCAGGTGGTGTCGTTGGCGGCCACGCTCAAGGCGGCAGAGAAGAGGGAGGGGCAGTCGAGACGAAGGTCGAGTCGCTCGAGAGGAAAGGCAAAGGCGGCCAGCAGGGTGCGCCGCCTTCCACGGAGGCAGCTCGCCCACGGGCCAACTGCCAGGGCCAGGAGCAGCAGCCGAGCGAGGTCGAGCAGCCCTTGCGCAAGAAAAACACTGGGAGTCCGAGTTCGCCTGCTCCGAGGGCCCGCTGGCACCAGCATCTGGCCCAGCCCGAGTCGAAGCCCGAGGCGGCCAGGGCTGCCCGCGACGAGGCGAAGCCCACGGCAACCGTGCTCCGCGAGGCGAACCTCACATCGGAGAAGGCCAGCAAGGCTGTGGCGGCTGCTGAAGAGGAGGCGCACGCGTGCCAGGAGGCTCTCCGGGCGGCCCACTCGAGTCTGCAGGAGGCGCGCCAAGCGGAGGCAACTGCACGCGCCCAGCAGCTGGAGGTGCAGGCTCGACTCGCCACCGAAGCACCGCCCCGAGCAGTGGCGAACGACGTCGACGCGCTCCGCGTGCAGTGCGCCCGGCTCCAGGTGGCCGAGTACCGCTCACGGCATGTTGGCCGCTCCGAGCGGGTAGTCACCAAGATGGTCAGGCACATGCCCGCTCGCAGCAGCAAATCCCCGCGGATCTCAGCCGAGGCTGCCTGGCTGGCGAGGATCGCCAACCGCCTGCGCGCTGTCGCGAGGGACCAGCAGCCCAAGAAACGAGTGGCTGCACCACGGAGCATGCCTGCATTCGTCCGTCGTGCTCCTCAGCGAGTGCGATCGAAGCAAGAGGCCCAGGAAGCACGCTCCAGGGATCCAGGGAGCAGCGCATGTCCCTGCAGGAATCCCCCGCTGCAGTGGCCGACAGCAGCAGGAATCCCTGGCAGCAGCGGCCGACAGGCGACCCCAGCAAGAATCCCCGCAGAAGCGGCCGACAGGGGACCCCAGCAGGAGTCCTTGGCAGAAACGGCCGACAGGTGGCCCCAGCAGGAGTCCCCGGCAGCAGCGGCCGACAGGGTGACCCCAGCAGAATCCCTGGCAGAAGCGGCCGACAGGGGGCTGGCCTTTGCTACAAGGCGCTGGTGGAGGCTGACTCAGCGGGGAGACCTAGCAGAGCTCCCCGTGCAGGTGGCGGGGTGGCTTGCCGACCGTGCTCATGCGGATGCGCAGGCCCTGGCGCAGCGTGACCTGGACGAGCGTGGGCGTCAGTTCGACGAGCGGGTCGTTCACAAGCTGCGTGGAGGGGCTGCGGGCGTCCAGGCAGCAACCAGAGCCCCCATCGGTTGGAACGGTTTTCTGCCCGACTAGGAGCACGTGGCCGGGCAGTCGGCGAGTCAGGCAGTGCCAGCGCATCTTGCAGCTGAGGCAAAGCAGCTCGAGGACAAGTGAAAGCGCCCGTGGGGGGTCGAGCGCGAGCAGGTGAGCCTGGGTTGGCCGCAGGACCTCGGCGAACGGCCCCCGCGGCCGTCAGTCGAGGAGATGCGCAGCTGCCTCCGCGCCTTCCGCAGCGGCACGGCAGCCTTCTTCGAGGGCCTCCGCCCACGCCAGCTGCTCGAGCTGTGCGACGGCGCGCTGGAGGCCTTCGTCGACGTCCTGATGGCGGTGGAGCAGGCAGCTGAGTGGCTCATGCTCAGCACCAAGGTGTACTTCCTCCTAGCGAAGCGACTCGCAGGAGTGCGCCCCATCGCGATCATCATGGTGCCGGCGTGGGCGCACGCTCGGCTTTTCTGGGCTGCGCGTGGCCGAGGTTGTGAACGGGCCGTTTGGCAGCAGGCCGTAGAGTGTGAATGGGCAACTGGATCTTGAAGGCGCGCAAGCAAGTGCGACGCCGCCACCTCGTCGATGTGGCGATCAAGACAGGCTTCCCGCTATGGCAGCCCAAGCTCCAGATTGAGCTTTACCGAACCCCTCGACGGCTAGTCTCGGCGACGTCGTCAGCGACCAGATCCGCGCAGAGCAGGTTGTGTTCCCTGGGGTGGGTTTGCCGCGCCGATGATCAAGATGTTGCTGCTGGCGCCTCTTGACGATCGGGCCGGACGAAAGGGGGGGATTGGGAAAGGGGTCCCATTCCTCGATGCATAGCCGCCTCCGGCGCCGGGAGGCGCCGGGGAAATCAGCTTCGTGAGCTGATTCTCAACCCCCCCCTTTGCTATCCTCCCCTTTCTCCCGACCCGAGACGAGCCGCGGGGGGTTCGCCCGCCGTGTCCTCGACAATAGTTGTCGACGACAGCATCGCGAAGAGGACGGGAGGTCTCCAACGCACAGTGCGAGACGTCTCGGACGCAGCCTTCAGGTAGGAGAAGTTCTTTGATGAGGTTGGCCTGCAGGTGTCGCCCAAGAAGTCGTCGCGCCCTGGCTACCCACCCAGCCATCTGTGCTGGCTTAGCCCAGCGGCTGCGTAGGCCTTTGGGCGTCGCTGGCACCGAGCAGGGGCGCAACCTAGGGGTCGACTTCAGTGGCGGTAAGAGGGTCGGCAGAGCTGTGCTGGCGCACCTGCTGCAGCTTGCGCGCCTGCGCTCGCGCCTCGTCTGCGTCACCAAGACGGGCAGAAGCAGGAGGCAAGCGACCTGGCGAGTGGCCAAGGCGGGCGCGCAGCCCAGCGCGGCCCATGGCGCAGGCGCGACTTGGCCCTCCCGGCGGCTTCTCCGGCGCCGCCCTTGGCGCGCGGCGCGCGCAGCGATTGAGGTCCAGGGCAGATCCAAGAAATCTTCGCGGCGCGCCAAGCCTTCATGTTTATGCGGTTGTTTCGTCTTTTACTGTAGCATCGTTGATGCCTTCCGCCTTCTGCCTGCCCGCCCGCCCTGCTGGCTCCGGCCTCCCGCCTGCGCCTTCGTCGCTGTCCACCCTCCGCCAGGCAGCACGGCCTGTCTGGGACCAGCGTGGCAGCACGTAGGGCTCTTTCGGCGCGCCATTATGTTGTTTTGCATGTTTTGCTGTCTTGCTGTTTTTGTTGGGTCAGTGGCGAAGAAGGACGCCACTGATACATCTTGGGCTTGCTCTGGTCCTCACACTCCTCCTCGTCTCAGCGTCGTCGTCGTCCTCTTCCTCCTCCTCTTCCTCCCCATCCTCCTGATTCTGCTCCCCTTCCTCGTCCCCGCCCTCGTCCCCCTCCTCACCCCTGTCGCCGCCGCCTCCGCCCCTGTCGGCCGCGGGGGGCGAGCCCCCGACGCCAGGCCGACGCGGACGTGCGCGGCGACCTCTGCCGCGCGCTCCTGGCCCTGGACGCCGCGTGGGCGGGCTTCGAGGTCGGGGGAGGATAAGCGACACCAGTGCCACCAGGGGGGCCCACCTCCAGCGAGGAGGTCCACGGTGCCTCCCCGAGCTGGAGGCTGGGGACGTCTCGAGCGAGGGGGGGGGACCACACCGCCGGGGAGAGCCCCGCTTGCCTCCTCGCACCTCCCCGCCCTGGTGGTGTTGGTGTCGCCTTTCCCTGTTCCCTTCGAGGAGGCCTACGTGACCGAGCTGCTGGGGGTGCAGCAGCAGGCCCGGGCCATGGTCGCCGAGGCCGCCGAGCTGGAACGCAAGCTCCGCTCCCTGGAGCGCGCGGGGGGCACCGCCGGCCCGCGGGTGCGGGCGCGCCAGCGGGCCGAGGCGAGGCTGGTGGAGGCGCTCGGGCGCCTGCACGCGAGCGCGGGGGCGAAGGATCGGCTGGGGTGCTCCTCCTCCCTCCTCCTCCCTCCCCTCCTTCCTCCTCCCTCCTCGTCCTCCTCCGCCCTCCTCCTCCTTCTACTCCACCTCCTCCTCCTCCACCTCCTCCTCCTCCTCCTCCTCCTCCTCCCTCCGCCTCCCCCTCCCGCTCTTCCCCCCCTCCCCCTCTCCCTCCTCCTCCTTCTCCTCCTCCTCCTCCTCCTCCTCCTCCTCCTCCTCCTCCTCCTCTCCTCCCTCCCCCTCCCCTCCCCCCTCCCCTCCCCCTCCCCCTCCCCCGCCCCCTCCCCCTCCCCCTCCCCCTCTCCCCCCCCCGTCCTCCCTCCCCCTCCCCTCCTTTTCCTCCTCCTCCTCCTCCTCCTCCTCCTCGTCCTCCTCCTCGTCCTCCTCCTCCTCCGTTTCTTTTTCCTCCTCCCTCCAGCAGTGGGTCTGGCGTAGGTAGAGCGGCGGCGAGAGTTGCAGTCGTTCATTCGTGGCGTGCTACTGCGTGCAACAGTGTGCAACTACTGCGGGATGGGAGGCGCGAACTATTGCACCAGCAGCAGCTATTCCGTGCGGAGCAAAATTGCACGTCTGCATCCGCGCGTAATTTCGGCACCCAGCTCGCAAATGATCGCATCCAGGCATAACGTGTTGCGAGTACTGTGCACGCAACTTAGGCACCCAGCGCGCAAATGACTGCATCCGCGCATCAACTGCTGAAAGTACTGTCGCACCTCTCCTTGCGGACCTCTGCGTCAGAGCCACAGATCCAGCTTTGAAAGCCCCTGCCGATCGTAGCTGGACTGATGCCGGGCCCGGGGCCTGAGTGCAGTCGAGGCGCCCCGAGAGACGGGGCAGTTCGGGTTCGGAAGGGGCCCCCCTGTTCCTTGGCTTCTTCCATGGCTGCTCCTCCCAGATCTCGCCGCCCCCAATCCTCTCCTCCTCCTCCTCCTCCTCCTCCTCCTCCTCCTCCTCCTCCTCCTCCTCCTCCTCCTCCTCCTCCTCCTCCCTGTTCTAGGCTGGCAGGGTAGCCGTGGCATGCATGCGCACGCCCGATGCCGCACCTGCCCCCAGGCCCGCGCCATCCTCCTTGGCTTCTTCCATGGCTGCTTCTCCAGCGGTCCTCGTGCGACCGATGGGCGTCTTTAGGACTCTCTGCAGCGTTCCCTGTGGAGGCGGCTTGGCTACGTCTGCCTCCCTGGCCAAGCCAGGGGACACCGCTCCTGGGCCTGGGATGGGCCTGGCCCGGGGCGGCGAGTGTCCAGAGAGGACAAAACTCCCCGACCCCAATGACTGGCGTTTGCTGCACAACCCTGGGCGTTTACTATTCGGCTCCTTCTTCGTGGGCACGCTTACTGACGGGGCTTCGCCTATCGGGGTGTTCACCATGAGGGGGCCTCTTCTGCCCCTCATAGGACGTGCACAGACATCGCCGCCCCCAATTCTCCCCTCCTCCCTCCTCCTCTCTCTTCCTCCTCCTCTCCTCCTCCCTCCTCCCTCCTCCTCCTTCCTCCTCCTCCTCCTCCTCCTCCTCCTCCTCCTCCGCCTCCTCCCCCTCCTCTCTCCTCCTCCTCCCACCCCCTCTCCCTCCTCCTCCCCTCCCCCTCCCCTTCCCCCCTTCCCCTCCCCCTCCTCCGCCATTCCTGGATACTTTCTCCTTGTCGCACCCGAAGGCCAGCTTTTAGGGCGGGCTGGGCTTTTCGCTTGAGACTTCCTTTCCATTTATGATTCTAAAGCTTGAAAAGTGGCAGCACATTCACGGATGAAGGGTGTTTTTGTGTTCTTTATTGTTTTTGTTTAAAGTGGCTCTTGCTTTAGCGCTGCGCACAATCGTTTTTTGTTCAATCGTCAAGATTTTAAAGGATTGAGGGCGGGTCGTTTTGAACAAGTGGCTCTCGCACTAGCGCCGCGCACATCCCTCTTCAAACTTTGAAGAGTTTCACGGGCTGAGGGCGGGTGGTTTTCAACCTGTGCCTCTCGCCTTAGCGCCGCGCGCATTCGTTTGAAACATGTGCACGAGCTTCCCAGATCGAGGGCGGGTGGTTTCCGAACTGTGCCTCTCGCCGTAGCGCCGCGCACATTCGTTTTAAACATTTGCAAGAGTTTCACGGATTGAAGGCGGGTCGTTTTGAACATGTGGCTCTCGCAGTAACGCCGCGCACATTCTTTTTCAACGTCTGCAAGAGTTTCACGGGTTGAGGGCGGGTCGTTTTCAAAGTGTGGCTCTCGCCCCGGCGCCGCGCACATTCGTTTAAAACATTTGCAAGAGTTTCACAGATTAAGGGCGGGTGTTTTTCAACATGTGGTTCCCGGCAGAGCGCCGCGCACATTCGTTTTAAACATGTACAAGACAGTCGCGGATTCCCATGATCAGCGTTCCAGGAACTGTGTTTTGGAAGGATTCAGGACTATGCGAGTGCAATTGTTATGTTGATTCGCTGTGTCGAAGCCCCAACCATGGCGTTATGGCGCGATTCCGGATCGTCAACATGCAGCAGTCCGGGTGATATTTGGCGTTGAAATCCTGAGGATGATGTTTTGGCATGCTTCAGGATCTTCAAACTGTTGTCCTCCAACGAGGCAGTTCCTCCAATGGGAATGAACCGTTGTAGGGGATTCTGAAGAGGGAGCTTGGAGGGAGGGTTTATTCCAGCATCGTTGATGACTCTTGGGTTTACGCTGGTCCGCCTCCTCCTCCTCTTCCTCCTCTTCCTCTTTCTCTTCCTCTTCCTCCTCCTCCTCCTCCGCCTCCTCCTCCCCGTCCTCCCCCTCCTGCAGTTCCATAAGGCCATCGACAGTCTTGCCACGGACGTCCAAGGTGCTCGCAGAGCTTCGCTTGCAGGCAAGCATCAGACAATGTTGTCTTCTCTATCGCAGGCGGTGGTGCAGCTACAACGTATTGTACACATGGGGGTGTTATTGTCCATTTGTCCATGGCAGCGGCGTCAGGGCCGGCAGCAAGGACTCCTGCACCTGGTTCGCCCTTGGCACCATCACCGCCGACGCCGACGCCAACGCCTGGCGCACCGATTTCCGCACCTGCTCGTACGACTTCCAGCAGCTACCCACTGTTGAAAACGAGCACGACCCAGCGGCACAGCCGCGTCCTTGAGATGAATCCTTCTCTTGTGGGATGGCAGATCATTGATGCGTTCGTGTTCTTCGGTTTCGGCGTGGACATGGACGTGCAGATGCAAGTCTTCGCTGGTTCTGCTAGCGCAGGCTCGTGCGCCGCCAATGTTTCGCCAGGGAGAGCCTGCGGCGCCTCCATGGACGTAGAGTTGCACTTCCTCGCTGGCTCTACCAGCGCAGGCTCGTGTGTCGCCAATGTTTGGTGACGGCAAGTGCCTCGAACGCTCCCAGACATTCTTTCGGAAGGCAACAAGAACGCCACTTTTCGATCGTAATTCACAATGCCAGTGGTTCGAAGCGTCTCCTGCATTTCATTCGTGATGGAGCTGGTTGCGAACAGGCAGCGGCGTCGCAGGAGGTCCCTCTAACAGAAAACGCGCGACTTCATGCTGAGGAATGGCGTCGACGTGCCCTGACTCGTTCTTCGATGCCCGCAACCCTGTAACACCAAGTCCTGGCGCGCTGGCATGCGCGTGCACTTCGGGCCAAGAGATGGCGCCCTTGCGTCAGCCCTCTACTTCGAGCAAGGCGTTCCGTCGATCGGCGACGACGCGAGGGGGCTGGCGAAGATCGGCGCGTTGCTCCGCTTCTACGGTGCTCCGCGCATCGCGCCGGCAGGTCGGGGCATCAGCCCGTCGAAGTTCAGCGAGTCCAGTTGAGTTGACCAGACCGACGGCCACGTGGACTTTGGCCCTGAAGGCTCTTGCAGAATGACTACACCAGACCATCGTGCTTACATTGGCTTCCGGATGGCCAGCGCCGCCGCAGCGCCGGATGCGTCGCGAAGCTGCGCCCCCCGAGCGGATTGGCGCAGCGTTTTTTTTTTTTTTTTTTTTTTTTTTTTTTCTTTCGAAGCAACAAATATAGGATATCAATTTTTTGGGGTTCTTCTTTGTTCAGGAGTTGTTGCGTCGCCCACCCGCTCCGATACTGGGCATTCGGCGTGCGGCTTGCGCGCGCTCTCGCTCCGACGCATCATTCGAGCGGCGTCGCCCCCGGTCTGTTTCCGCCTCGTCTCTCTGCTACCATTTTTCTTTGAGGTTCAGAATCGCGTTTTCGGGTATCGTTTCAGCTCGCGGCGGCCTCGTCGGGGGTCTTGTGCGCGTCGTGGGCCGTCTGGAAGTCGTCGTGGGTGTCGCGGGCCGATCGTTCGACGACTCGGAACCCTCTTGGACCGTCTCGGGCGCTTGTTGGGGCCCTCTTGCATCGCGTTGTGGCGCCTCAAAGCCGCGCCCAGGAGAAGAACCGCCTCTGGCCCGACCTGGCCGGGGCACCTTGCGCCCGGGGGCCTCGCTGGCCCCCCCGCGCGCGCGAAGTAGAAATGTTGCGAGGCAGTCGCCGGAGATCATCGCGCGCCTCTGGCCCGTTGGGCCGGCGAGTTTCCCCCGAGAAGCACGTCCAGCGCGCTGTGGGGCGCGCGACGAACGGGCGGGCCAATGTCGACGACTCCTTCTCTCCTCCTCTCCTGCTGCTGCTTCCCATTCTTATCATTTTCCTGCTGCTGGTGGCCTTCCTGCCGCTGCTGCCGCTCCCTCCTCTTTCTTTTTTTCATTGCCGTCGCTGATGTTGCGCGGGCGCGCCTGCTCGGCGCGCCGGCGCGCTGGGCGGGCCCGCGTTTCTGCGCCCGCGATTTCGCGCCCGCGATTTCGGCCGCGCGATCTCGCCCGCGATTTCGGACGCGATTTCGCCCGGGATGTCGGGCGCGATTTTGCCCGCGATGTTCGGCCGCGATTCCGCGCCCCCTTGCAGGGCTCCGCGAAGCCACTTACGATTTTGAACACGATGTTTTTCTCATGGCTTTAATTGCGGGATAAATCACGGCAAAAAAAGTGCGCCCCCGCGGGGGGGGGGGGCCAAACAAGCGCGCAACATCGGGGCAAATA